CTGTTGTTCAAGGTCCTTCTCTATCTGCTGCAGCTGGTTGTTTTGCCAGACAAAGCCATCCACCTTTTGATTTACACAGCAGACAAGAGTGAAAAACGGCCAAGCTACCCGCCCTGCTATTTCACAGTGAGGGGAAGGAATTTGTCTGTCTATTGCTTCCAAGGCTTGCAAGACATCCCCAGATTCCAAACGGACAATTCCTAGTCTGAGGCCTTCTAAGCTGCCAAGAAGGTAGCTACAGGTAGCCATGGCAAGGCTGGGATCCTTTAGCTGCCATTCTCCATGGCTCTCCCTTGCCTTTGGGCGCTGTTTCCACAGGCTCCATGGGACCACTCGCCTCAGTATCCTGCCGACTATACCAGTTGTCAGCCCACAGGGGAGGGGCAAGGGGGATTTTTGTGGGTGAAGTCCCAAGGTTAAAGAATACATGTGTGCAAGACCTCAGCAATAACATTAGGCAGCCTGAAGCAGAGCAGAGTGCCAGAATGAGAGAGCAAGAGAGCCACCTGTGTCTTTATTGTATAATTCTTACACAGGTTGTCATCTCATGCTTACATTCTTACATAGTGCTGCAACCAGCGCATGTGTGTTTACCTGTGCTAAGTCGTGGTCACATAACTGTGTCCCACTGCGCGCCTGCACTAGACAAGCAGGATCATGTTTTCAGGTGCCCTTCGATGCCCCTGAGCTTTGAAGCAGTGAGTGTTTCCCCACAGATTCAAACTTGATTCGGCATTTGTATTGCTCTTACAATGTCCCAGGTTCTTGAAATATATGATCTAATGTGAAATATAAGTTTTTAATAGAACATAGTAAAATAGAACAAATAAAAATTGATAAATCTCACTCTAGTTGTTTTGAGCCCTTTAGGAGATTCTTAATATAGTGCATTACCTTGTTTGATTCTCACTCCAACACCACGAAACAGATACTATGATCACCTCCATTTGACACATGAAATGTTAGCGATTTAGGTTAAGTAACAAGCCTGTGGTCTACTACTGCTAAATGGCAAGGCTAGTGATGACTCCAAGAATATCTGAAAGCAGAACTTATATGAGCCAAACTAAATATTGGTGATTAGGAGAGCATGAGGCCACGAAGTGATCCTGAGAAAGCCTCTTTCTGTATTTTGCCTTCCTGGTGAAAAGATTGGACTCTCGGTGCCACTGGAGATCTGTTTGAGCTCTTTGCCCCGGGGGCGGGGGGTAGTCTTTTGTAGTTTTCTAATTTGGTTCTGTTTTCACTTTTGATTCTCTCACTGTGTCTACCTGGTAGTCTGGTTAAAGATCATCAAGAGAGTAGATTGAATTTTGGGAGAGCAGGATGGAGGCATATTTAGCGGGAAAAAAACAAAGCAGGAGGAGGAGGAGGAGGAGGAAGTTCACAGCTGGTGGAAAGTTGTGCATGGGTTTCATAACATGTGGGAGGCTGAGCACCACAGGAAGGTGCTCAGACAGCATGGAGCCCTCCATTCAGCAGAGATCTGCCTTTTATCCTGAAATGTGAAAGCTATGGAGAGAGTCTAGCAATGCACAGGAACACACAGAAGAAGGTTTGGAGAAAGGGAAGGTCTAAAGAGAGGTAGAAAGTCCTGACAGCCTTACAGTCCTTACAGTCCTCAGATAGTTGAGTTCTGTAGGGTGACTGGACTTTGCTCCTTACCAACTGTGTGATAGTAAGCAAGTTCTAAATCTCCCTAAACTGCACTGTGCTCATGTGCCCATGGGTGCTCTTGGGTATGGTTGAGGATTAAGTGACACATAGCAATAACAGCTATCCTGATTTAAGGACAGCCAAGCCTCTGCATGTATACATCTGTCCCATGTGCCAAGTCCTCTGCATGTTTACAGGTGCACCAAAGAAGGGTTGGGCTCAACCTTGGATTGTCAACTACTAATGAGATTACAACGAATGGGGCTCTTGTGATGATCCCAGTGACATCTTTTTTTTTCTTTTATTTGTCTTTTTTTTTAAGACAGGGTCTCGCTATGTAGTTCAGGCTGGCCTTGAGCTCACTTTGTAGACCAGGATGGCCTCAAACTTGTAACAATACTCCTGCCTCAGCCTCCCGAGTGCTGGGATTACAGGCGTGTGCCACCACGCCTGGCCCCCAGTGGCATCTTGAAAGGTCATTTGTCCACATTTTTATCCTGCTGTGTGGCTTTTGGTGGAGTTACTTAACTTCTCTGAGCCTAGGGTGACTCAATTATAAAATGAGATGATTGAATTCAATGATCCATAGGGTTCTTTCCAGCTCTGAAGTATTTTTTTCCAGCTCTAAAACACCATGCAATTCTGGCAACAGGGTTGTTTGGGAAAGCTCAGAGGGATATTAAAGTATGAACTTCAAATATATATATGATTATTATAAGTTTGAAGGATGGTGACCAGCTGTTCTCTTTTGACTGAGGACAGGACATGAGGAAACACACTTTAATTGTCTGATATTAGACATTTAGAAGACTTTTTAACTTGGGAGAGGCAGTAATATGTCACCAGAGCAAGCTGTGCAGCTGCGTGCTCCAAACTCATTAAAACAGTTGACAATTTTCTGACACCCAGCTTAAGTGTAACTTTGTCATGCGGGCCTCTCCTGACTCCTTGATCTAAAGTAGCACCCCCTTTTTTCTTTTCACGTTCACTCTGTTTCCCTCCATAGCACGTAAGACAGTGTGTAACTGCACCTTTATTTTGTGTTTAGCCTTTTATATTTATCTCTGTAGACTGCATGCTACCCAAAGGCGGGGTCTGTCTTTATTTGGTCACTTCTTGGTCCCCAGTCCCAGCACGGCAGTTGCCACATGGTGGGTGCGCAGTGCGCATTTGTGGAATGAATGGACGGATGGGTATGTTGGAGAGATGGCAGAGTTAGTGGTAGTGCTGCTTGAGGGAAGCGGCTCCTCTGTTCTCCTTTTTCGATAAGAAAAATCCTAAAGACCTGTCTATCGAGAGACTTTATACTGTTTCTCCTTCCCGCCTTCTTTATTGGGTGCATTTTGTCAGTTTTGGGGGGATATCCAGAGATCCTCACAGCGAGCCTGTACCGTCTCAGGTGGAAGAGACGGAAGGAGTGGGTAGAGTTCTGTTGGAGACAGAAGAAAGCCCAATGGAGCAAGGCTAGATGCTGCTGATTTTCTATTTGCTCTTCTATCTTCACTCATTGCCCTTTACAATGCTCTGTGCCCCAGGAACGTGACTGTGGTGGGTTGCATCTGCTGGTCTGCCTGCCCTCTGGCTTCCGGTTGAGGTTGGCCAGTGGTAGGTAGTGCAGCAGGAAGGTGAAGGGTAGAAAGAGAGTGCTTGGTGATATGTTGGTTCTTTTGGCTCCCTGGCCTCTGGGCTCCTGTGCTGCAGGCCTCAGCTAGGGGTCTGCTGTGGTGCTTTCTCCAGATTCTTGCAAGGACTCTGCCGCTATCTCTGTAGGAATGGCGGTAGAAATGGCTCCCTTAGTGTGTTTCACCTTCTCCTGCTGGTTCTTTTTATCTTATCCACATGTCTGTATATAGTCTCTATCCTAAACTTCCAATTCCCCACACCAGCAAGCTATTTGTTTCCACTGGCTGTTTTCTGGGGTGGCACTGCTTCCTGGTCTTGCATCCATCTTACCTGAGAGGGTGTTAGGAACCACACATCTAAGTAAGCACACGTGTGTGTGTGCATATGTATGTGTATGAGGTCCAGGATCAAACAAAAGGTTGGAGGGAAACTTTGTAGTAAATAAAAATATGATCATCGTACCTTAGGTTTCTGTCCTTATTTTTTAAAAGGCCTCTGGCAGGTTTGGAGTTTGGTGGACACCTCGAGGGAGGGATTTAGCTACTCTCTCTGGTCTCTCTCAGAAGCAGAGGTGAACCTGATTGCCGTTTTTACCCAGCTGGCCAAGTGTGTTAGTCCGCTATCACTATAATGGTATTCTTGAGACAATTATAATGAGTTAATTTGGCTCGCGGTTTTAGCGGTTCCAGCCCTGGAGCAGGCAGACTCTTTGTTTGGGGCTCTGGTGGGGATGCTGAACGGCAGTGGTGCAGACTGCATTCCACAGCAAAGTGCTCACCTCATGGCTAGCAAGCAAAGGAGAGGAAGTGGATGACATGGAGGCTGCACCGTTCCTTTCAAGGGCACGTTCCCAATGACCTGAGAATCTCCCTCATCTCCTGAGAATCTCAGCCTTATCTCCTGAAGTTTCTGCCAACTCCCAACAGGGCCACACTCTGCCCAGGCTTTTAATACATGGACCTTTAGGGTCATTCCATATCAGAGGTATAGCGCTCAGTAACTTAAAGTTTCAGGTAGCTGATCAGATCCCAGTGCCTTCAGGAAAAGTGCCCTGCAGTTCCAGCTTCCCTTGTTCCTGTGTGGGTACTGCAGCCTTCGCTCGCTGCTCTGGGGCCTCTTGCACGTCTGCCCTTGCTCCTTCTTTCCCCTTGGCTTTGAAGAGCTCCACTTCTCCTGTGAGTCCATAAGAACAGTCTCTGTTCTTACCTGAAATAGCTTTCCCTGGAGCACAGCAGAGCTGCGCAGCCAGCATGGCCAAGGGGAGGTCATGAAGTTGCCGGATAAGAGCTGAGACAGAGGGAGAAGACATAGCAGTGGAGGCCAGTGTGGGTATACTGCCTGGGAGTCTTCCAAACTTTCATACAAATGAGCACTTTCCTGCCCCACCAAACAACTGTGGCCTTGGGCAGTTATCCCTCTTTGTATGTGGAGACGCTTCAGGCCCCTTGAGCACTTTGCCCAAAGTCCTGTGGCCAGAGGCTCAGGCGGTCTGCTCGTGTCCCACTGGGCCCCTGCTGCCCTTCCTCAGCTTTCTCTAGGTTGGGATCTATCTGTGGGATTATGAAAAGAAGATGGAAATCTTCCCCCAGCTCCTGCATTCCTGTTACCCCAGGCTGTTTGGAGTCTTGCCCAGGAGCTGTGGGCCCTGCCTGTCCACGAGGACCATTCTTCCATCCCACCTGCTTCTGGCGGCCTGACATGCCTTTCTGTGTTGTTTCCAGAAGTGGAGCTGCCCCTGAAGAAGGACGGGTTCACCTCGGAAAGCACCACACTGGAAGCCTTGCTGCGCGGTGAGGGCGTAGAGAAGAAAGTGGACACCAGAGAAGAGGAGAGCCTCCAGGAGATCCAGGTAGTCCCGCGCCTGCTGGGGACACCGCAAAGCGGCCGCCAGCTCTGGCTGTTGTTCCAGAGGCTGGGGCTGGGTCCCAGCTGGCCTCCTAGCACCAGTACCAGGAAGCTCACAGATTCTTTTCCAGTTTAATACAGAAGTCACTGTACTCCTAAATCTATTCTTCTCCTAGATTCTCCTATTTCTCCATTCAAAATGTTTGCTGAGCCTGATGAGAGCTAGGTACTGTGTGCTAGGTCCTGGGTACGTGATGGTGAATAAAATGGACTGAGTCCTCGCCCCTGTGGGACGCACAGTCCATCCTCCAAGCTCAGTGCTTTGCTATGTGAGTCCTTGCCTTCTCCCTTCCCTACCCGCCAGCCTCTGCTCCCGCTCACCGCACGTCTCTGGCTTTCCCAGCGCTCCTTGCTCCTCCTCAAGGCCAGCCGAGTCCTTCCCAGGCAGGGACGGTGGCTTCCGTCCCATGTGCCTGCTACTCTCTGTTCACGCCGCCGCTTCAGCTCCGAGACACAGGCTTGCTGCGGTGTGCTCCTCCCATTTCTTACTTCTCGCTGGTCTTGAACCCCTATTATCAAACACAATGGTGGGCAGAGAATATTACAATAATATCACTTAATGCTATTATAAAATAATGGTATTAATAATTAAATAGAACCGAATTACATTCATATTAAATTATATTGCACTCTAAATTTTATATTTTATTATATACATTGGACATTAGTTTTATATTCCATTTAATATTTAATTAATCCATTGATTTATTAAAATAATGATTAAATTAAAAATAAAAGCTACATTTTTGATTTGCCTAGGAAGGATCACCAAGCTGCAAGTTCCTTCAAGTCAGGAGCGGGCTGTAAAGCTCAGCACTGCATTCTCAGCCCCTTGCTCAAAAGCAGCACAGAGAAGGTGCTCAGTACATTCCTCGAATGGATCAGCAGAGCTGGCCTCCTCCTCCACCATTCCTGTGCTGAGATGAATGGTCAAGTCTTTACCACCGCTTGACTTACATATTTTTTCCCTCTTCTACTTCGCATGAGTTCTAGTCCTCGTGGAGCTCTTCTTGAACTCTAAGCTTTATTTGTCTAACAGACCTTGCAGTCGTTTCTGACTGCTGTCTCTCACATCTAATATCCCACGCACTAGGAATCCTGTCGCCTTCAACATAAATCCAGAGCACAGGTCCTGTCCCTCAGATCCACTGCTACTGGTGGTCCAAGCCACCGTCATCTCTTCCCCAAGTACTGTGGGTACCTTCTCAATGGTCTCCCTGCTCCTGCCTCAGAGGAAGTCTTTAAAAAATGATTTTTTTTAAAACAAGAATTTTAGGGGCTGGGGATTTAGCTCAGCAGCAAAGCGCCTGCCTGGCAAGCGCAAGGTCGTGAGTTCGGTTCCCAGTACCGGAGAAAAACCAAAAAAAAAAAACCAAAAAAAAAAAACTATGTTAAAACAAGAATTTTAGATTCATAGCAAAATTGAGAGGTGGGTACAGAGATTTCCCATATGCCTTATGGCCCTATACATGCATAGCCCCCTATTATCAACATCAACTGCCATGTTTGTTAGAAGCAATAAACCTGCACTGATGCATCAGTCTCCCCAAAAGCGTGGTTTACGTTAGGGTTCACTCTTGGTGCTGGACAGCCCATGAGTCTGGAGAAATGTATGATGACATGTAGCCACCATTACGGGATTATGCAAAATAGTTTCACTGCCTTAAACATCCCCTGTGCTCTGCTGTACGTCCCTCCCTCCCAGTACCTAACAGTATCAGGCTGTGTGGTTCTGCCTTTCCAAGCGTCATCCAGGTGGGGTCTCACAGCCTTTTCAGACTGGCTCCTTTCGCTTAGCAATATGCACGGAGAACTCCTTTGTGTCATTACATGGCTTGGTAGCCTGTTTCTTTTTAGTGTGGAATGAAATTCCATTGTCTGGATGGGCCCCTGGGGAGGGAGCTTTTTAAAGGCTGACTCCTATCATTCTTGTATTCAAAACCCTGCCGTGGTCACTGTTGTCTGCCCTGGAAGCAAGGCCCCTGAACCCCTCTCCGATGGGGCGCCTTCCTCTGTGCCTGCCTCCTTCCGTTCCGGGCACTCACCCGTTCCAGACCTTCCTTTGCTGCTCCAGCACCCACGAGGCACGTCCTTACCCTTGAGCTTTTGCTCTGGCCCTTAGCCTGCCAGGGCTCTGCCCTCTCCTGCTGGACCGCTTTGCTCTCGTCCCCCTTCTCTGGGAGGTGCGCCCTGACCTCGGTGTGCAGCACGACATTCTGTGCCTGCCCCGCCCTGGCACTTCTCACTCCTTCCCTGTCTTCCTTTCATCACCATCTCCTGTCCTGTGAAATTTGTTCATTTATTGTGTTATTATTTAGCGTCTGTCTTCTTCCAGTTGAATCTAAACTTCCCAAGGCCAGGAGCTTTTATCTGTTGGCTCACTGCTGTCTCAAGGACTCAGACAGTGTGTGACACTTAGTAGGGACAGGAAATGTATGTGAAGTACATACAGGAGCGAGCAGGTTCTGAAGAGCGGGCCTGGCCCCAGCCTGTTCCTCTCCCACATGCCCTACATCGCTAGCTGTATTTTTTGTCCTGCAGCACAGCTCTGCTTGTGTCACGTCTTTGCTAAAAGCCTTTTGCTTCCCACTAAATAAGCCAGAACAGTGAACATGACCTTCCCGGGCCTCCTCTCTCTGCTCCTCGGCCATGTTCAGGCCTCTCAGCTAGTTTTCCCGTGACTCCTTTCCCCCCTCAGTTCTTCATATGCTTTGGTCGTGCTGGGCCCTTTATCTGGCGGCCTTTCCTTCTATCTCCACGTGCACAAATTCCACTCAGCTCACAGGCTCAGCCTCAAGGCAGCTTCCTCACAGAGCCTTGCGTGGTCCCCCCTTAGCCAGCGGGGTCTCTTTCTGCAGGAGTCATATTGCTTCTCTCTCTCTCTCTCTGTTTTGGGGTCATATATCACTTTCACCTTTCCCCAGATAGTTGGAGTTTCAGATGTTCAAGGTGGGGAAGGTCGGGTTTGTCATCACTGTGTAACACCTGAGGGTATGTTTTGCTTAGTTAGTGTATTTTGACACAACCAACGAGTGAGACGAAAACATTGCCCAGGGGCCTTGGTATCTGGCAACATGTAGGTACAGGGGGTGCTCAGCCAGCACGTGCCATCACCGGCTCAGCACGGTGTCACGGTCATCCTCAGCCCTGACTGAGGCCGAGGGGCTCCCATGTGCAGAGCAGAGCTGCCATCGACCATGCCAGAAGCTGAAACAGGACCGCAAGCCGAATAAGTTGATGTATTTTTATTAGCTTTACACGCTTAAATATGTAGTACATGGGGTATACATTTTTTTTCTTTTTCATTTACTCATTTGATCAAGTTTAAAGAGAAACTCCTCCCAACAGGCAGTGTGTTGGGTGTTGAGGACAGAGGGACCAAGAGAGATCTGTCTCCTTGCCCAGGGACAGGCTACAGAGAGTCCTGAGGCAGTTTCAGGGCCAACAGTGGAGGGAGCGACATCGGATTTTTGGAGTAGTCCTGGCCAGAGATAATGAAGTCTTTAAAAAGGAATTTTTAAAAACATAGCCACAAACCCCCTGTTACTGTCACTGTAAAGACTGTTCAGAGTCACAGAGAGAAAAGTTATTTTAAAATGTGTTTATTTAATAAATAAATAAAATAATTGCACTTCTGGGCAAATGCCAAGCAGCCAGATGCCACAAGAAGAACAAGCAGCCTGAGGATTCAGGATAAGACGGGGGACAGGTTCTAGAGTGTCCTGAGGGAGAGAACGGGTTCAGCCTTGGTCCAATGGGAAGAGACGAGCCGGCACGGAGAGCATCCTGGGGAGAAGCCTTCTGGGAAGGGGGACAGGGTGCAGAGAGCCTGAGACCATTCTGAGCTTGTCATGTGGGGAGGACAGGCTGAAGGCCGGAGCACGGGGTGGGGAGAGAAGGGCCCAGCATGGACGCGGCCAGGTGGATAGGAGCCTAGGCCTCACGGGGCAGAGGAGTGCTTTTTAGTTCCATGTAAAAGGAAAAAGGAAGCTAACTGGAGGATTTTGATTAGGGCCGTGAATTTATATTTCACAAGATCCCTCTGGCTCTGCATGGAGAGGAGAGGAGATACAGGGCCAACAGTGGAGGGAGGGACATCGGATTTTTGGAGTAGTCCTGGGCAGAGATAATGAAGTCTTTAAAAAGGAGTTTTTGTAGCATAGCCGCAAACTCCCTGTGACTGTCACTGTAAAGACTGTTTAGAGTCACAGAGAGAAAAGTTATTTTCAAATGTGTTTATTTTCCAGATTATGTCCTTGGGCGGGGCCTGCTGGTGTGTCACAGGGCAACAGCTGACTCTGTGTTGGACCACCCCTGTCCTTCACTCCTGACCAGGACCCCCCCGCTGCTTCCTGAGCCTTGGAGTGGGTTTTGTTTGTTAGGGCCTCCTGACTCCTCCCAAGTGACGAGTTGTATAAGGAAACTTCTGGGGTCAGGGCCACATTGCAGGAAATGCAGACATGTGGGCAGCCGCCAGCACATCTGAGGCCGGGGTGTGGACTGGAGGTTCTGGCATCCCCAGGGAGCCGGTGGGAAGAGGAGGGACAAAGCTGGGGGGAAAAGAGAAGTCGGCTCACTTCTGGGCAGTGAGGCCATGTGGCACATCGGGCACCAGCTCAGCTCCCTTTGCCTGCCTTTCACCTTCCAACCCAGGGTCCACCCTGGGGCTATAAATACCCTTTTCATAAAAGCGACAGTGCGGTCAGAATTGGATTGAGACGCCAGAGGCAATGACCTTTACATTTCAGACCCATGATTAAATGACTCCAAGATCCAGAAAGCTGTAAGGTAGCTATACAGTTGGCAGCAATAGTCCTAATAACTATACCTTATGTGCAGACTATGTTTTGTTACTGAAGGCCGCGTTGCGTTTGACCTGTCATTGTCTCGCCTGGCTTTTACTAGTATCCTGCCTGCAGGTCAGGGGGCCGAGAGCCTTGCTTTGGACCTGGGTCAACATTCCTAGCTGTGGGCCAGCGGTTGTGTCCAGCAGACAAATTGTTTCTCTGTAGAATGGCTAAGGCTGACCTGGAGACCCCTTATGTGCTGCTGGCTGGTGGTTCCCCAGTGAAACCAGAGAAGAATTCACTAGAACTGCCTTGAGCTCTCTGGAAGGACCATGTGACCAGCCGATCCCGGCTGCTGTGACTGGGGCACAATAGTTTGGCAGGAAGGCGGGAGCAGAGGATCACTGGCAACTCCCTCCTGTGCTTCCCACTTGAAAGACAGCCCAGAGGTGGTGTCCTGTCCAGGCGGTCCCTTGGACAGTGGCGGTGTCATCAGGTGTTCATACGGTGTGCACACCGTCACTATAAGTATCGTGGTGTCCTCCTGTAATACGCTACCTGCCCACCTTTCCGGTGTCATCTCAGCTGTCTCCCTGAGCCACTGAGCTCTGGTCTCCCCTGTCACTTTTTGCTCCCTGGGCAAACCATGGTCCTCCCTGCCTCAGGGAGTTTGTTCTCTCTGCCTAGCACTCTGCCCTTTCTCCCATCTGTGCTCTTCTCAAGGCTACCTTTTGCCATTTCTCCACGTCACTGGCCTTTGTCACAGCCCCAAGTAAGCCTTCCTTGACCCCACGATTATGTAGAATTCCTTCCTAACACCTTCTTATAGCTGCTTGAACCTGGCCGTCACTGTTTCGATAGCGGCTGGAATTATACGGTTGTATATGTTGTTTCAGTCTGTCTTCCTTTTTTTTTTTCGTGTTTTTTTCCAGTACCAGGAATTGACCTCATGACCTTGCGCTTGCCAGGCAGATGCTGTGCCTCTGAGCTAAATCCCCAGCCCTGAGTCTGTTTTCCTTTCACTAGGTTTATCTGTATAGATCTGTAAGATCTGTTTGGAGCCAGGACTGTAGCCATTCTGCAGCTTGCTTAGCACAGGCCCTGTTATGTAGTCAGCATTAGCGAAATGTCTGTAGATTGAATGGATGAATTCCTGTTCTATAGTTGGGGAACCTGAGGCGTGAAGAGATGATGATTTGTCTGAGGTCACATGGTGAGCTTATAAGGAAACCACGGGGGCCCCTGACATGGACTCCAGTGGGATTCAAGCCCTTTCCCTCTTCTCCCACTTCCACAGTGAGGGGCTGGGTCCTCTGCCACAAACTCCTATCCCTCCCTTAAGCCTGGAGGTACACTCCTCAGCTCCTCCTGTCCTCTCTTCTAAAGGGAGCGAGGTGCGTAGGCCCCTGCATAAAGAGAATGCCATGCTACACCTTGGAATTCAGTCCTGAGGGTGGAGGAATGAATGGGAAGCTGAACTCGTGAGCCTGACCTTGCTCTGTCATGGCTTCTTGGTTTGAGCTTGAACAGTTGAAATGGTTTTTGGCCTCAGTTTATTTAACTATAAAATGGATAAAAAATTTCAGCCCCTCCAAATTCAAAGACCCAATCCAAAAATGGGCAGTGGAGATGAACACACATTTCTCAGACAAGGAGATACAAACGGCAAATAAATATATGAGAAAATGTTCAACATCA